TAATCACTCCTCCCCCAGGCACAGACCCAGCTCCATGTGCTGCGAGCTGGGCTCCCTTTTGTTCAAATACCTGTAAGCAAATCCAAGCGTTCTTTTTAAGCCCTGAAGCAGAGATTTCCACATTTCCTCTGCAGGGGGGTGCTTAAAGAATGTGTGTTTTCATTAATCCTTGAGGGAATTATCTTCCTGAATGCCATGCTTTTTAGGAGGACCCTTTGCCATCCACCTGCTTCCTCCCCTCCTCAGAAGAGCAAATCTGCCATTCTTCTAGGGCACAGCACTCCCATTTCCTCAGGACAGGTTAATGTGCAGGATAAGGGATAATGTTCTCAGACCTGGGAGGATTTTAATGGGTTTATTGTACGTACATTTGTGGTCTCCAAAAAGTCCTAAGTAGACTTCTAGGATCTATCCCCAAGTAATCCATCGAATTTCAACAGAAATAGAGACTGCTTCTCAGGTAATTGTGTCTCAAAGACATTTCTAGTGTCTGTGAATTGGGGACACTTGTCTACTTGAGTGCAGGGATTTGGTCTGCAAGGGAAAGTATTTCTAGCGGAAGTGAAAAGAAAAGTAATTGAAGAAAGGCACATCTCCATCAGCAGAGCAGTGTTTCTAACTAGCGACACTAGGGTGCCTCCAAAGGACTTCCCCTCACTCAAGAGCTTGCTCATCTTCTGAGCACCTAACCAGCAGCAGAGATTTGCTGGTAATTTCACAGGCATTCAATAACCCTCACCCCAGACCTATGTCTAATTCAAAATTCAGCAGCAGGCTCTTTCTCATAGGAACTGCAATTCCATGGAACATGACCTTGGCTCTCTTCTCCTTTTCTTTCACTGACCAGAGTACCCCATGCTAAGGCCCTATCTGCTCATGAACATCTCCTGGTACCTCCAAGCCTGCCATCCAAATCTGCTGAGTAGGATCCCGAAGTAAACTGCTTTGAGAGAGCTGGCTATCCCCACGTGGGACTGCCCAGTGCAGTCCATACTTGTAGACACACCACTGAGCACAGCACCGTTGTCTATATTATTTCACATTGTACGAAATAAATATTGGGTTTTTTTCTGCAATAGACAAACCACAAGCAAGGTTGATTAGCAGAGGTCAAGGTAATTGATAACAACTACTGTTGATTCCCAAAACAGAACGCTGAGTCCTCACAACCATTTAGAGTCACATCTGTAACCAAAAGGGAAGCCAGTAGATTTTGGTGATTTTTTTGGATTTTCTCAGTACTTTCAAATATATATACTTGCTAGCCCTTAGGAAAACTGATCCTGCTTCTGGTTATTTTCCTTCATCTAGGGAAGAGAGGTTCTGCAGCTGCATTTGCAAGGAGCTCATTGCAGCCACCCAGATGGGTATGGGTAGATGCAAGGAAAGAGCAAATACTGAGGAAACTGCCCCAAGTGTTCCCAGGAGTGGGAATTCCTCTAATTCCTCCCTCTTGTCAACCAAGGGGGACTAGTTTGTCTGATTGCTGTCCCACATGTCCCAGAACAATTACTATTTTGCTTTAATTAACTCACCGTCTTTCATCCAAGCCATCGCTCAGAGGCAAGTGTGCTACAGAGCTATGAGGTCCCCGAAGTGCTCTGTACCCCAATAGCTTCAGCCAGCTTGTTTCTTTAGTTTACCCAGTGATACATAAGGAAACAAAAGTGGAGGGAGTAAAACCCTGTATAGCACTGCACGTTACATGGAGGTGTTTCAGCAGAAATGAAGAAGTTAGAGACTTCAATTTCCATGATCTTCTGCAAAGTCATGACAGGTGACTCACTGGTTTTTCTGTTCACTCAAAGTCACCACAACTCTTCCACACATAATAAATGCCAGCAAGAAAGTTGGATGTGGAGTTTTTTCCCCTTTCCTGGCTCGCCCAAAACGCATTGATCCCCAGCAGGTACAGAAATCGCTAACTCTGAATCCCATGCATTTACTTTCTAGGAAGATCAAATACGTCTTGCCATAGAAAACTTATGCTATGTTTGTGAGAGGGTAGTATAGATTTAGCAAGCTCTTAACCATCCCCCAAATTTCACAAGGCAGAAGATCCTGGATTCTGCCTCATACAACACACAAGAAGATCTGTGTGTTCCAGGAACCATCGCATTAACACATTTAGCCTTCGGTCATTGCATATAAAAAGGTCAACGCCAAAACTTTCTGCTACTTGGTGCTTCTTGTATAGATGGGACACATTGGAAATTTATGACCTGATCCATGGCAACGCACAGACAGGGGTGTCATCTACATTGTGAGCCAGGAGTCCCCAGTTATGCACTCAACTGTTAGATCTGAGCTAGTTTAGGCAATGGCTGTGATTAGTTGGCCGCTTTTTCTCAGATTGCCTCTCCAGCTCCCAGCCTGTGAAACTGGCTGACCTCTGTCAGCTCTCTGTTGCTGCTTCCCATGTCAGCAGGCTGGATTTTTGTGGCACTGACACTGACTGGGCTCAGTTCTCATTTTTCCAAGACTAGCACTTTTTGTTAGTTTCCTCTTGAAAAAAAAAAAAATAGAGAGAGAGAGAAAAAGAAAAAAGAGAAAAAAAAAAAAAAAGAAAAGAAAGAAATAGAAAGAAAAGAAGAGAAAAGAAGAAAAAAGATAAAAACTTTATCTAATTTTAATTCCCTTCCAGCTGTTTTGTTTGTCAAAAGCCCTCTATGTTCTGTTCTCAGAGCACTTTAGGACACACTGAAATTCATCATAGAGGGGATAGTACCTCTTTGGGCTTGGCCTGGATCTGGTTTCCTTGAGAGCTGACTCTGGGTCTGACCAGCAGCTGAACTACTGGAAGTACAGGCTGGAAGTGTGAGATGATTGAAGACCATCAGCCAAAAAAAAAAAATTGAGATCTATGGCTACACCGATCCTCAGATTAACACTATCAAAGTCAATGGTGTTTATAGAAAGTCTCATTTTCTTTGTATTAATGTGAGTAAAAATCAAAAGAGTGTTAAGGGCGAATTTCTGCTACCAGAGACGGAAAAGAGAGCGTGGGGACAAAGCTGTAATTACGGGTATTTCCTATCTGCCGAAACCTGTGGGTGGAAGGGGAGGCAGTGAATAGGGCATATTCAATGGCATTAAAATCGGTTTCTTTTTCTGGACTTTAGCTCAGCACTGCAAATTAGCAGGGAGAAATTAAGCCTCTGAGTGAGCGGGCAGAGAAGCCAAATTCTTTGTGCTACTCATTGCTGCTTTTTTTCCCTTTGAGAATTCAAATTCATAACAGCCAAATCTGCAGCTGCGTGCTGACAGGAGGATGCGCTGCTTACCTGCCGTGGTTCTGTGTTCATGCCTCCACAGGCTGCTATCCCATTTTCCTTTCAGGACGGGCCCTGAAGACCATGCCCTGACCCCACAACCATCACTGGGCACCCACCTCTTTGCACAACACTACGGGCACTTGGGAGAGCTGCTCTCAGTGCATCCACTTCTCAGGGCTGGGAAGGGCCATTCCAGATCTTAACAGCTCCCTGCTTATCACACACGCATGAATTTCTCCTTTAAACAATAGCTATTCTGAAACCAACTACTTATAGGAAAACAGGCACAATTAAAATGCATTTTTCTCACTGTGAAAAAATATGCCTTGTGCTTACCAGGAGCGTTACATCATCGATTTGAGTGATTCCAAAGAATAACATCATAAAATGTCTACTCAAATCTTACGGTATTTTCACAACAGTTAATAAATGGAGTGGCTTGATGCTGCATCTTTTGTTAATGTTGAAACTATACGTGAAACTGGCTGGGATGTCACTAAGGCAGAAAGTATTGTTATCGTTATTGTAATGAATATTGTTGTTGCTATTAATGTAGGCTTAATCAGTTGCTCTGTAAACAAGACATTCGATCTGAAGCATCTGCAGCTGAGTGCTGTCAGTCTGTTATTCTCTGACCCCCCTAAAATACTGCAAGCTCTAGCATGAAATCCTACTTGCAATAAAATCATAGCTCTAACTATTGCTTTGTTAATGGCTCCTACAGAGCCTGCTCTTATATGCAGTGATACTGATCTGTGTCATGTTAGTGTGCAAGAAGGATTTTGTTTTACTTGTTTCACAATGTGATTCAGTGTTTAATTCATACTCCTTCAGTCAACCAATGTGTACCACCAGAGCAGCACATTTCATTCCCATTTCTGTCAATGGGCAATGTCTTCCCTCTGTTTATGAGATTCCTCCATTTAACCCCTACCAGCCCTCAAAGACAAGCAGACAGCAGCAAGCTGCCTATCCCAACCCGTGTGCCCGCAGCAACCTGTTCCCATGCCATCCCCCCATCCTCACCTCACTCACTGCCAAACCTGTCCCTGGACCCAGTGCCACACTGCACAGGGTGCCCCTCTCAGCTCCCTGGGGAGAGAATTGCACCTTCGTGTTTGCTTTATCCAAGAATGTGTCAAGGTACTGTCAGAACTACAAATAACATTTCCCCCCCCCCTGTTTTTTGGCATATCCTGATGCACGGAGCTTTATCATCAAGTCCTCTCTTGGTAAGAACACCCAGCTCAGGCTTTGCTTTGCTTCATATGTGTTTCTTCTGCTGAGTGGTGGCTGTGACACATTGCTGACTGCTTTGAACTCAGCACAGCACCAGCACAGAGTCCCTGGAAATGCAAAGTGAGGTCCGGCTTTCCTTGGTTCTCCCATCACTGCTGATGTGTGTTGAGATCGCTGCTGGTAAACCCCCTATAGCAGCATTCAGGTGGGCCTCACACTGCATCCAGAGATTTGGGCTAGATTCTTACAATAACCACAATATTACAATAACCATTTGTTTTTCCCAGGCTCCAGCCATCCCCGTGCTCCCTGGTGGGGAGGCCCAGCCATACACCCAGACATGGGGATTCCCTCTGCCCACCCCAAAACCATCTTTATTCCAGGTGTTGGTTATCTCGTCCCCTAGGAGCCATCTCTGCACCCTGCCAGCAGATGTCTTCTGATGGTAGAGCCAGGCTGCAGCTTCCCATGCTCTCTCTTTTGCAGGGCGCATTCACGTTCCGCGGGAGCATGATAGACATGCCGCTGCTGAAGCAGGCACGGAACATTGTTACGCTTGCCACAGCCATCAAGAAAAAATGATCTGGTAAATGGAGCGCTCACCATGGGGCCACGGAAGCTTGTTTTAAAAGATGACTATAAGACTTCAGGGGAAAAAAAAAAAAAATCAAATGCATCACGCTTAAGAAGAAATTCATTGACGTTTTGCAGATCTGCCATAATTTCCTTGCCAGAATTGCTCGTCGTTAACAGTGCTCGCAACCCAAAGTGCCTCTCGCTCCCAGTGCCTGCCACGGTGCCATGTCATGCGTGATATCATGGCTGTGGGATCGTGGCTTCACAAGAGGACACCAGCAGGATATGAGCAGTGAGCTCCCCTCGAATAACCTGTGAACACTGGTCAGCCTTCACTCTCCATTTCCATGACAAAGTCCATGTGAAAGTCAAAGCTCTGGGTAATCACACATCAGCTGAAATAAATGTGATGAAACTCACTGGATGAAACTCACTGTCCTGC